CAAGGCATTATGGGGATGTGAAAGTAGAGAATAAGGAGTATAGCTTAAGAACCCCTATGAAGCCTTAAGCAACTTTTTTAATTGTTGCAGTTTTGAAAGAGGCTTGTATTTGAACATGTACTAGGAGAATGTTAGGATTACATCTACCGTAAATACATGGCTTTCACTAGGAGTATAGATGGAATCAAAGAGAGTGTTGTAGCTTCTAATTAGGAGCTTTGCACTCATCCTTTACTAGGGGGTTTAATCTCTTAGGGTGTTAAATGCGAATTTTGAAAATCAGCATTTTCTGGTATCTCTTAAGGTGTCGGAAAAGGAGAGAGCCTGCATCGATATGGCTTATCCTAGGTGCTTTTTATATAAAATTTAATATTATTTGTTGTGGTATCTCTTAGGGGTTAAAAATCATTCAGCCACGCCCTTTTTTAAAGACTTCTGGTATCTTTTAGGGGTCTTTTTGAAAATTTCCGACGAGCATCCCCAGTACTTTTTTCCCGGAGTACCCCCCAAGGTGCAGCTCCCAAAATTATATGACGTTGTACACCCTCTACTCCCCTCACAGGGACCAGAGCTTATTAAGGTAATCGCTGATCAGTCACCAGTCATCATCACAGGCCAAATTAGTTTTAGCTTAGCTATACCTCATTGCTGGTTAAAAGTTGCTGGTCAAAATGACAGGCAAAGCAAAGATTTGACTGTAGAAGTCCCAGTTCTGGACTTACATTGTGTAGTTCCAAAAATCATCCATACCCACCCCACAGAGGAATTTGGAATTTCCAAAGAGTAGGGGGGTCAGAGAAAGAACAAAAATTACAAAGTTTGTATGGAAGAAAATTGGAATTTCCGGGGGGTAGGGGGGTATCTTAAAAAAATTCCTCCGTGAGGGGGATGAGGATAATTTTTGGAACTACACATTGTCACAGGTTCAGTCAAGAATCAAACCTGCAACCCCAGGCATGAACTACATAGAGATAAAATGCTGTCACAAGAGTATTCAACCTGTACAGCCAAGGCACAGCAGAACTACTTACAGATAGTTTGATGTTCTTCATCTTCGGACAGAGACCATTCAATGACTTCTGCATCTTTTTGATGGTCATTCCATCGTCTTTTCAAAGGGCTCCGCTTCATGGGACTTTTGTTCTTGGTGCTTTCCTTGGCAGGGGATTGTTTCCTTTAGATGAAAGAAATAAATTTATGATAATGATTTATGATAATCAATGGTCACTAGACCAATGACAGAGAGCCAAACCCTTATAGAGCATATGCAGTAAAACCATGAAATAAAAACAAAGTTGATACTGACAAATATTACTATCTAGTGAGTAATAGTTGCTATCACTCAACCAGAACATTCATCATACAAAGACAAATACACAAGAGACCATTTGTGTCATTGTTTAATGTCTGAATAATGTTCTGGTTGAGTCAAATAGCACTATTAGCATTTAGTATTTTTACACAAGTGAATGTAATAAATCTGGCGCGCTCATTGGTCACAATTTACGCCTTATGCTGCTATGTACACCTACAGGTGAACATAACAGGCACGCGCATACGCATTGTTTGTTGATCTGTGCCGCTTGCAGAGATAAATAAAAATGGAAAAAATCCTCTCTCTCCGTTATTTATTACATTCACTTATGTTAAAAATACTAAGAAAATTATTCACCTCAGGCTCAGTGAATATCAGGGTATATTTATCTCGCGTCTCGGTAAATATTTCCTGATATTCACTTCCCCTTCGGCAAATATTGTTGAATATTAGATTTTAAATTCTCAACATGACTAGGTAGCCTGGCATTTTCACTGTTTTTAAAAATGAGGCTTAATTTTGTTCCAATTCAACTTAGCTATATTTAGATATAACTAGCTAAAAACTAGTGTGAGCTGCGTCAGTGTTTCTAATGAAACAGTAATGATAAAAAGGTAAATTATACACCGTTAAAAGATGAAAGAACTTACAGACGTTTCGGATGCTAGTCCTTCGTCAGAGTAAGATACGAAGGACTAGCGTCCGAAACGTCAGTAAGTTTTTACATCTTTTCACAGTGTTAAATTTACCCTTTTATCATTAATGTTTCATTCGGACACTAGTCCTTCGTCAGAGTTTTTTCATCTTTTCACGGTGTATAATTTACCTTTTTATCATTAGCTATATTTAGCTTACTTTTGGTTCAAACCAAACAAGTGCACGCAAGTTTCTAATTTTTTAATGAAATATGACATCATAAATTGCATACAAATAATGACGTCATCTCATATAGTACCCCCTCATAAAACGATCCATTTCACAAATTGGTTTCATGTATGAGCTTAAAACATAAGAAAAACTTCTAAATTTTTTTAATTCATCCTTTCTTTATCAACCATGGCTGGTGAATAGGTAAGACCCCCTTATCACAGGAAAAAAAACCGGATTCCCAAATCCGAAATTTGTTGGGAATTTCCTTGAATTCCCAACGAATTCCCATCCAATTCCCAGAGAGAACAAAAGTGGGAACGTGGCACTGATTCACAATGTTAGTTTGTTGGGAATTTTGTTTTTCTATTGGGTATTAGAAGGAAATTCCCAACAATAAATCCCAACGTTGGTGTTCGAATTGCCCTATAACACTATGACGTCACATCAAAACAATCTATTGTTTTAACGCTAAGAATCATGGTCACCAGAGGAAGCAAAATAGCAGCAAAACGAATTAAATCACAATAAAAAATGGTTAATTAGACGGGGAAAGGTGATGACAGATAAATGTTGTACTAAACATCCTGAACGAAAGAAAATTTCACCTAAATTCCTATCATTCTTGCCCATGTGAACAAACTGTGACGTCATAATGTTATAGGTCAATTGGGAATTCAAGGAAATTCCCAACAATTCTCAATTTGGGATTTTTGGGGGGGGGGGGGTTTCCGTGTATACAAATCTGACAGTACTCTCAAAAGTGCTGCTATGCAGGCTATAAAGACAATACCTAATATTTTCATTATCATCAGTAACATCATCATCATCTTCATCGTCGCTGCCTTCATTGGCAGCAGATCTTTGGTTTCTTTTCTTTACGAACTCACTGAAAGACAAGAATCATGAGTGTGGAGCATGTCGTACAGAAACATAAAATTACCCCATGGAAGACTGGACATCATCTACCCATACACCACTTTCATAAATGGCCGACACTAATTAACATATCATCAATTAATTCATCATTTTGGCAAAAATTAGCTATCCAATAATTGATATTAGTATAGGAAATCACAAGATCTTGAGTACAATTAGGAAATTAATAGGCACGAGTAATGTTTTGAAAGTTCTTGTAATTGCAC